AAGAAGCGAGGCCGTTCGGGCGCTGTGTTCTTGTTGCCGCGCCATACCAGCTGCGGCGTCTTGTCCTCGAAGGCGACTTGCTCCTCGACCCTGCGTATCTCGTTGCGGATGTGATTGTAGCTAGGGATGTGGGCGTGCGGCCAGGCCCAGTAACCGAAATCGGGCATAAGCCATTGATTCTTAAACTCGGTATCGTGAGCGGGCTTGGTGTAGGTCCAGACGGCTTTGTTCTCGCCAACGATGTCGAAGGTGAATACGAAAAACTCGATGTTGGGGAGAGATTTGCGATCGGGAAAGGCGGAAAGGGCGCGTTGCAGGGCGTGAGCGGTGGCGACGCCGTTTTGCACCCACATATTACCGTGTCTGGAGATGATATACAATTCGCCGTCATAGATGATGGCGCGGATGCGCTGATCGTGCTGGTCTTGTTCATCGAGATCGGACAGGGTGATTGGGTTAGAGGTGAGGTTAGCGACATTGTTATGGATATCAGTGTATTGCTTTGGGAAAGCGATGTTGCATTGTTCTTCTGACAGAGCCAGGTTATCGCCGTCGCGAGTAGCATTGAAGGTCCACTCGGTCGTAGTGGTTTCTTGCTTGTCAGCGGCAGGAGATGCTTTGGCTGTTTGGTGAAGAGTGGCAGTATTCGACTCTTTGCTTGGGACCCCGGGAGCCCATTTCGAGTTCGACTTGACTGTATGGAAGAGTATTGTTAGCAAGCCGGATAAGGCGAGAACGTGCAAGAAGATCCAATATATACGGTCAAAGCGAGAGTCGGTGTGCGTCATGTTGGTGGACTTGGTCAAGGAAAAAGGTGGAAGGCAAGGGACGAAAGGGCCCGCGAGAAGTGAGAGACATCAAACTTGGCTTACCTGGAGGGGCACGGTTGTTGGTATTTGTGACTAATCTTGTAAGCTCTCCTAAACGTGAGACGCTTTCCTACGGGATCTCGTTGATCCTGAAGTTTCGGGTATTTTTCCCCTGAGGGTATTTGCCCCGTGTTTGGCTTAATTAGCGTGTACACGAAACGTTGAAATCGGGGCTGAAACAATAGCGCACATTCCTGTCAACTACCTTACCGAGCCATTCCAGGTTATTATTATATAATTTGAAGATAAATCTCCTATGTCAAGGGTGCGATTTTCTCAGCGCCATATCTCGAGGGATGTCTTCATCGTATGAGTTTTTTTACACTGTGGCCCAAGGCTAGCCGTAGTTGGAAACGATTTTGTATCTCCATCCATAAATTGCTAGCCAATATGTCTCTTCGCACGCAGATACCAAATACCCAGAGCGATATGTGAAAATTAAATCGGCAAAGGTCGTGGCTCCTGTTCTCAAGTGACAGTGCCGTGGGTAGGGTAAGACGAAGCTCTTGCTCCCACTAAATACTGCCTGAAGCTCTGCCTTCTCGCTGTAGGACTTCTTCTTGACTGCCTCTTCCGAGCCCGGGGACTGCTCTGTTCTGCAGGACTTCCGTCTGGGCACTCGTTGTGATGATACCCGGTTTTCTCGCACCGCCAGCACAAGGTATGCGTTCTGGCCATTTTGCGCAGGCTGGCCACGATTGATCACTGACTTGGCGACACAGACTCCATTTAGTGCCCCGTTGCGCGGGTCTTGTTCAATGCTACGAAGGTGCTCCACCGCCATAGCTGTCGTCAAAACCTAGCTTGTCTATAATCCCGAAGACACAACTTACAGAAGGGTACACTCCTGCTTATATGCATGAGATTGCCTGAAAATGAAGCCCTTGCTTTGATTCTGATTCAGTGAAAATGCCTTACAGATAAGATGGGATCCTTAATGTTGTACCTGACAGCCGACCAGAACTGATTGCTAGCGCCTTGGCTCACAGCCCTACAAGTCTGGGTATCCTCTAATGAGACCACCAGCTCCTGTGTCTGAATCTCTGTCCTTAGGCACTTCTGCCTACACTTTTCGAGTTCTAATTACCATGTGTCAATGTCAAGCAACTATCTTCCAGACAAGGTTCAACCCTTTAGCACTACACTCAGTGAGCACACGCAGGTAAATTCTGGCGTCTGTGTAGACGTTGAGGTAGCACAAGACAAACGTCAACCCATCAAAACCAAAATTCATTCTACGGCGACTTTCAAGCTTTGATCATTCTCTCATCATCTAATTGAACCTCGCCAAATCTCACGAAACTAAAAGGAACTGTCACTACTCGATGATGGCGACTTCTCGAAACCATTTCCGGTACTTTGCATTGCCGGCAGAGATACGAAATCAAATCATGGAGTCCGTATTGATTGCTGGTGACATCTATATTCGTCCTGCAAAGAGAAATCGCCATGCTCAACAATTCTGGAAATCTCTCTCCTCGCGACCCAAGCGCTTTGTGGATGCTATGGCAATTCTCTTTCGCCATTTATCAGGCCAATCTCAGCGTCTCGTCACCATTACCACGGATGCCCACCTGAAGGGGCAATCCACTATTCAACAACCGGGCATTCAGCTCCTGGCAACTTGCAAACAAGCATACAACGATGGTCACTACATGTTTTTCGCGATGAATACCTTCCATTGGCCGCCGGGTCCTGTCAACACAAAAGGTTGGTACGTAAATTTACGGCCCGAGCACCAGAAGATGATCAAAACAATTTGCATTGATTTCCACCTTGCGGACCTCACCTACGGCGATATGAACGCTGTCGAAGTTTCTGCCAGGCGCGGTGGGGGCGGACGACCCAGTAACTACGATGCAAATGCTTGGAGCTCCGAGGCTATGCTTGAGCTTGCAGTGAGGATGTGGAATATAATTCTGTGCTCGTACAGCCGCTCCACACCCCAGAACCTGCGCCGCTTCGTGGGACTCGAAAGGGTGATATTTCAAAGCTCTATCGGTCGCTGTGTTCTGAATTCGCAGCTTGGGACAGATGAGAACGAATTGGTATCCCTCGAGTTGTTCGTTGCTGCAGTGTCTCACCATTTCGGGACCATTCTCCAACTGCATGTGACCAAGAGAGGATGGAAGAATACAAAGAAGTGGTTAGAGAGGCTAAGTTGAACAAGGTTTAGGGCTTGAGAAGGAGCTTCCAAGGCCATCTCGAGGCTGAAGTTGATATAAGGGCAGAAAAAACACGAAAGATACATTGATTTCAGCGGGGATTACCTTCGAGAGCAAAGTCCTCTTCACTGAAAACGGACATTCAGCCCCAGCGGCTTCAGCTGTCGTTGTCGTATAGACCTCCTGAACATGCTCTCTAGTCAACCACGACTTTTCCATATGACATGCGATTGCAAAGATGCTGGGGCCACAGTGCAAAGTGTTTTCGATGACGTCGTGCCTCAATAGCCTTTGAATGACAATCGGGCTACATGCTTTACTAAACTATTCTGATGTACGAGTCCCGTTCTCTGCTGCCATCTTTGCCTCATGCCTTTAATCTTGTATAAGGTCATTGAAGCCACAAGGCTCCATTTGCTTGACATGCTTTCTCAACTCCATACGCACTCTTGGTTTAGTGTTACAGAAGCTTCGGGAGTGGAGTATATCTTGGATAAATTCTAATCATGAGCTAATCTCAATAGACTCGTCTTTCCCCTGTCTTAGAGACTCCCAAATACAGGCTTCAGTTCAACAATGTGTGTGGGAATCATATACTCCCCATAATAGTCAGAGAGAGCCACGATGCACTTTTGAAACGTTGGTCTCTTTTGAAATTCATCATGGTGTGCCTAGAAAGCTCTCAATTAGCCCCATGGACCTGACCGATTTCTAGCAGAAAAAAAGGAGTTCGAATCGTGGATAGCTTGGGTATAAATATTGGTTGGAGAGCTTACGTCAACAGATCTCCAACTCTCCAACAGTATCTGGCGTTGTGGATCCTTCATCTGCGGACCAACCCACCATCCACCGCAGCCCTCCTCTCCGTCTAGAATTGGACCTATCGTCGAGCGGAAAATAACATAATAGCCCGATACCCTCCCTTCGATGACCTTCGTCAATGCAACCTCTATCGCAGGCGCTTTGACCACGGCCCCCAGTCGATCTAAACTATCTAGGTCACTAGTCCCGAGGATAGCGTGTTGCTGCCAATGAATGCTACGGTCATTGAGTGCTGGTTGGACTTCATTGTGAAACTGCCTGTACGCTGTACTGGTGAAGAATGCGTGGCTTGATGCCAAGTTTTGCCAGATGAGCATCCAGATTTGCGTGTATCGGTCTTCGTGTCGCCTACCCTGCCATGCTGTGATTAAGCCGTGCGTTCTACATGATTAAACATCAGCTCTCGTCACCTCTTGACTGCCATCACACTCCGCGCTTCGCACAATCTCAAACGAGAAAATCAGTAGCCCATCACGCCTCGTCGGTTTTACAAATGGGGAGGCAACAACGAGGGGAACAGCAATGGGACGTACTGGAACAATATACTGAGGGCAGGGGCCAGGTCCTTGTTGATCTCGTCGTCAGAGCGAACTGGCCGATGAGGTACGTGGATGAATTGTATGGCGTGTGGAGAAGACATGTAGGTATCTTAGCGTTTCTGCGGTGCTAACAATTTGCAATATTAAGGCTGGGACTGCGTTTGGGGCGCAGTCTTTGTCAGAGCACCCATTTGTACTATTCTTTTACAAGAAGTGCTTTCTCTCACATACTACGGTGGCAGTCCGGTGGCAGTCAGGTGACTTCGCAGCACACTTTCTTTGACTCCGGCAAAAGTGCGAGGGCACGATTAGGCCGAATACCTACCGTAGACGGCCCCGCATATTTTACTCCGCACCGCGCACCGCGACACTTTACTAAGTTTTGGATTCGATGAAGCGCGTCTGCTCAAATTCTTCGATGTCTGTGCTGCCAGTGACTTCACGGATACTTTTCCATAGCATACTCCCTCTCTTCACCAAAGTCAATCCTCCACAAGCTCACAGAGAACACGAAAATCAACACCATCTCAAATCTCAAATAGAAAGTAAACGGATCAGGTCGTCTTCATGGGCGAATCGCCATCGTGACGGGCGCGTCGTCAGGAATGGGCAGGGGAATTGCGTTGGCGCTGGCACGAGAGGGCGTTCACGTCGTCTGCTCCGACATAAAGAGGAATGCGCACAGCACGGCTTCGAGGAAGACAAGCATATTCCAACACACACCGTCATTGCAAACAATGGGAGAACTTCTGCATATCAACAGTGTGATATGGGCAATACAGCTGAGGATTTTACCTTGATCGATTTCACTGTGAAGGTACATCCTCCCTGACCTGCTTTGTGAGAATCGATTGCATTCGTACTGACCCACCCTAGAAATTTTCAAAGATCGACATAATAATCAACAACGCCGGCGTCTGGTGGCCACTTCGCGACTTCGTAGAAGAGACCGACGAGCAATGGGATATTATGATGGCGGTCAATGGCAAAGGATGCGCGACCGCGATGCGTGAAGCCATTAAACAGATGATCAAGCAACCGATCGCCGAGTCCGGTGCACGAGGGCGGATAGTCAACATCTCATCCGCTGCAGGTATCACCGCTATCCGTCGAGAGGCCACCTACGCTGCGAGTAAGGCGGCCGTGACCACGCTGACCAAAACGGTGGCGCTGGGTCACGCAAAAGACAGGTATGATTTCTCCTCCTTGGAGGTGTTTCTCAATACTAATGATTGCTGGTATCAACATCAACGCCGTTTGCCCCGGTGTCGTCAGGACTGCTCAAGCGAGCACGAACTTCCGCGACCCGGCAATTATTGCGGAGATGCGTAAGGGGGCCCCATGGCCTCGACTAGGCGAGCCGATAGATGTCGCGAACATGGTTGTCTTCCTGTGCACAGACGAAGCGCTGTGGATCAGAGGCCAAAATATTGCGGTTGATGGAGGGTTCACCGTGTAATTGGATTGCCGAGGGTTATTTGATGCAGTCAGTGGTGGCATTTCGATAGATCGGACTTTTCTGTATATCGATCAGATCCATAAAAAGAACGAAGCTCAATAAACAGATTGACAACACGATCTTCAGCGTCCACTATTTATAATCCGTCCGTGTCTCCACAAAAAGTCGGTGTCTTGGCGGGCTCGCGGGCAGTTCGCGACTTTACCCCTCCTCCTCCACCATCACACAAAATCCGCCCGCAAGTCACGCGCTCGTCATGACCGAAGCCGTACCTGAGTTGACAATCTTAGCTCCATCTATATCACAGCAACGCAGTATGGCCGTCTTGAAGAGCAAACCACCTGCCAGCCAGTCAACCTTTCAAACCTCTCCTCCTTCGTCACCGTGGGATTGGACCTACCAGGGTAAACCACCCTACTTCAGCTCTCCCCACCCACCTCCCTCTCAGGAACCTCCCACCTAACTAACCGCCCCTCCCCCATCCAGCGTCGCCCTAATGACTGGCGCCGGCGGCTCCATCGGCCGCGCCTGCGTCCTCCAATTCGCCCACCACGGCCGCACCCGCATCGCCGGCCTCGCCGCCACCGCCTCCGCCCTCTCCTCCCTCCCCGCCGCCACGGCCGTCGAATTCCTCCCCTCAACCGTCGACCAAGCCTCCGACGCCGACGTCGACCGCGCCGACCGGGACACCGTCGCCCGCTTCGGGCGCATCGACTACGCCGTCAACAACGCCGCCATCGCCGCGCCCTTCCGGCCCACGGGCGCGAGCCTGACGCAGGATTCCGACCGCGTTGCTGGGCGTTCAACCTGCGCGGTCTGTGGTTCTGCCAGCGCGCCGTGCTGCGCGTCATGGAGGCGCAGGACCCGCTGCCCGCCGCGTCCGCGTCCGCGTCCTCGTCCGATGGGCCCGGAGGGGGAGGCGGAGGAGGAAACGGTGACCACCGGGGACGGAGCCGCGGGTCCATCCTCGAGGTGTGCTCGAGCCTCGGCCTCGTGGCCATGCCCGCGGACGGCCTGTACATCATCTCGAAGCACGGCGTCCTCGGCCTCGTCAAGACGGACGCGCTCGACTACGGCAAAAGGGGCATCCGGGTCAGCGCCGTGTGCCCCGGCTTCGTCGACACGACCCTCCTGACGCCCGAGTACCGCGTGCTGCTAGACTGGAGCATCCGGAAGAACCCGGGCATACTCTTCTTAATCACGGCCGATATGCCAATTTTGCCGCATGATGTATGTTATTCAGCGTGCATTTGCTTCTTTGCCTTCTTCTCACGGGACTTCAATTGGACGTCTTTGGCTGACAAATCAAGCCATTGAGCCTTTGAGGTCCTCAGTCACCGCGAAATTATGCCGAAACGCACACTGCCCCACTAAGCATGCGGCTCCCAGTGAGTTGTGTGCACGTTTCAAAGTAAACAATATAGACATTCAACCCACTTCATTTCTTACTTCTAATAAATTTGTTTAAATACCAGCTTTGTGCTTTTCAAAAGAGAGAGAGAGAAACATAATATTGCCAAATCGAACTCATCACTTGCCATCATGCCCTCGAATTGGACCCATCTTATTCGCTTCGTTGCCCAAGAAGATGGCCAGATCCACTTGGGGCAAGTAGACCCCAAGACCTACCCTGATCTTGGAGTTGCATCCGTTGAAAAGAAAAGGATTGAGGCAAACCTTATCACCGGTTCCATATTCGACGGCCTCGTTACCGAGAAGACAATGACAGTCGCCCAGCTTCTTCCCCCCATCTCTGCGGATGAAACCCCCATTATTCGCTGCCTCGGCCTCAAGTACCGTGACCACGCAAGAGAAGCCAAAATGCCAATCCCGAGCCATCCGGTCCTGTTCATCAAGCCACGAGCAGCTTTGTGCGGACCCTCTCCGCGGAAAATCAGCGTGCCTAAACATTGTCAGGACGGAACGAGCGACTACGAGGCCGAACTCACGGTTGTCATTGGCAAAACGGGGAGAGACATTCCCCAAAAAAAAGCCGTTGGAGTACGTGTTGGGTACGTGCGGGAACGATGTTAGCGCGAGGACGGAGCAGTTTCGGAATTCCCAGTGGTCCTTCTCAAAAGGTAAGATCCACCAGCTCCGCACCGTTTCGCCGGAGTACTTGACGGCCTCTCAGGCTTCGACTCCTCCGCCCCCATCGGTCCCGTCCTCGTCGCGCAGGAGCAAATCTCCGACCCGCACGACCTCCGCATCAAAGCCATCCACAACCGAAACGTCGTCCAGGACTCGAGCACGGAAGAGATGATCTTTGGCGTGTCGGAAATGATCGCATTTCTGTCGCAACGAACCACCTTGGAGCGAGGGTCCCTGATTATGACGGGGACCCCGCCGGGGATCGGGGCGATGAGAGACCCGAAGGTGGTTTTGAACCATGGTGATGATATGAGGGTTGAGATCGAGGGGATAGGTATGGTGAGGTTTGTGTGCACGGATGATGGGTAAGGCTGACGCGGTGGCAGGTATGTTGATCAACGAGATCTACTATGAGTGAGCAGATGCTGCATCGGGCTGCACCAAAGCATGAACATGGATATCGGGACGGGAGCTAGTATCGCGTATCCAACGTTTCTCATAAATAGATAGCATCGATCACTTCTCACCGTGACTTTACATATTGTCCTCAGAGACAGCAGCGCTCAACCATCAAATCATCACATCTCGACTCGCTGTACGATCTTGTCTACCTTATCCGATGCTGCCTAACCCACGCTTCATCACCCTCGACGCCTACTCAGTTTCTGATCTTCACAACCAAAAATGCACAGAGGTCTACATACGCTTGCTGGTCAATCCTCATGCATACACACTCAGTCCATGAATCTGGGGGGTACATCCGGACCCCAAATGTATAAGCTATCCGGCGAAGCCAAATCCCTCGTGATAGGCGTCTCGCCGTTGACCTGATCGCCATCGACGTAATGTTCCAGGATGAACTTCGAGGTGTCGAACCTACACAAAGGTCAGCTGTTAGCCCACGGGACCCAGGCAGACACCCGCAGTCACCGGAGCCGGCAGCACACGTACCAATAATCGAAAATCTGACTCCCCAATACATGTCTCCCCACGCCCCAACAATTCTCATAGCCCTTCTTGATCAACCAATCGTGCCCGAGCACCTGGGTGTCGAAATCAAACACCTCGAACGAAGAATGGTGCACGTGCGGTTTGGGCCCCTCGAAGAAAAAGAAGGAGTGGTGGTCGACGAACTCTTGGCCGCGGTCCAGGTGCATGAATGTGGTGATGTCGCGGCCTTCTGCGTTGTGCAGCAGGTCGGTGGGTTTGAGGTTGAAGTGGCCGGTCCAGAAGTTGAAGGATGTGGCGAAGTCGGTGACGGCCATGCCGAAGTGGCCGAGTTTGTGGACCTGGGACGGGCCTGTTGGGGTTATGTTAGATGGGGTTGCATCTGGGATGGGGTGTGCGGGTGCTGACCTTTTTGCATCCGTTGGAATTTGTTCGCCGGGCGATGCTTCTCTGTTGGCTGCAGAACGATCCACGGTCAGGCACCCTCTCCGTCAACGTCTGTGTCTGAGAAAGCACTCACGAAGTTGAACTCCTTCTGTTCATGCTGCTCCTTCATCTCCCTCTGCACCTGCCCATAAACCAGATGCACCATAAACCCATCCACCGGATCCTTCACCGTCACACACTCCCCCCCGCCCGGCGCACCCTTCATTTCCCAGATTTCACTCGCAGTCGGAATGGCCCTAGTCGCCAACTCCAAATCCTTCCTGCTCTCCACCACGAACGCCGTGCCCCCAAAGGCATCTTCCTCGCCCTTTGTCGAGCAATACAAGAAAGGTTCGGATCCGTATCCGCGGTAGTAGATGGTCTCGTTGGATTTCCCCACGTTGAGGCGCGAGACCTCTGTGAGGCCGAAGTCAGTCAGGAATCGGTGCTCGCGCTCGAAGTTGGCGTGGGTGTAGTAGACGTGGGCGATGCGGACGAGGACTACTTTTTCGGAGTCGCCGGACGAGGCGTCCGGTGTGATGACGGATGGAGACATGTCGGGCCAACTAGCAGGTGGTATACGAAATGTTTACGAGATAATTTCCAATAGATGGCAAGAGGGTCATGAGCCCGGGAAGACGTCTACTCTCCGACCGGCTTTTAGTCATGTCCAGAATGCCGATGTAGCGGGCATTCGCCCGAGGAAGCAATACCTGACTTACAAGCAGTTACGGACTGCTCTAGTGGTTATGTGATCCCGGGAGCACTGCTACGGGATTTAATGTCCGGAGAAGGTCGTAGAGTTTTGTGGACCGTAGCGGACGAATTATCGGTATAATCGTGGTGCGATGACGGAAATGGGGTGTGGGGTGTGGGGTACCTTATTTCTGACAGGTTCTAGGTGAAAGCCGGGAAGGATATAGCGCGGCTGATCCCCAACATGCATGATGTGTTCGCCATCATTGGATCGGTTGTTAGCGGAGGAGCAGTAAACATTATGGCTGCAACCCTCACTCTCTACGTCCATAGGACGGTCATCAAGGTAAACTGCGGGAGAAGACCGAATGAAAAAATATGAATGGATAGACTTCTGAGCGCTTTTTTTCTTTCTGTGTTCTTTTGGTAATGCCGAGTCTGACTCCATAAGAGGTAGATGACTGCCGTAATTGACATCTAGACATTATCGCGCCCATGTGAAAATGCTAACCCCCAATTTCGATGCTGTCATTCTTTCCCACGGACTTTGTACGTATCACTTTCTGGAGCATCTCCGTGACATGAATAGCATCGCCCAGGTCATGGATGGATCTGACTATAACTTCGACGCGCTCTGCGAGCCCTGATTGATCCATTCCAAGTCATCTCGAAGGTACTTGTGCGCTCTCAGATCTCCACTCCTTGCATGACCTTCGAAATTTTCGGCTCGAGCTGATCGTCCGCACAACCTACCTAACTCACCGCTGGCGCTCTCCGAAGTGACTTCTTGGTAAGTCACGGTTCGAAGATACTTACCGACCCATAATCCACCCGTATATTTCGCTGCCTTTCCGAGTCGGCAAGATGTGATTTGTGTCGATCACCTAGCAATGTAAGCCTGTCCACGACAAGCAAGCAGAAGATTACCTTGTCACCGTACGAGACGCAAGTCTTTTCACCGAGGAAGAGGGCGCCGGAGTTCTGCATCTTCTCCAATGCCTCTCTTGGATGCCGTATAAGAGTCCGGACGTGCTCGCTAGCGTACTCATTGGCAAGCTTGAACGCCTCCTCAAATGTAGGCACAACGATAGCCTCGCCAAAAGTCTTCCATGACGTGCCGGCCAAAGCGGCTGTCGGTGGGATTTCGAGCAACTTGTTACCATCTTGATCGACTCGGTGCCAACCTTCTCTGACGTCGTAATAAGCACCGCAGGAGTGTCGGGTCCGTGCTCCGCCTGAGAGAGCAAGTCTGTGGCCACCGTGAAAGGATCCGCGTGCTCGTCAGCTATGACTAGAACTTCGGTTGGTCCAGCAAAGATATCGATACCAACTTCACCGAACAGCTGACGCTTTGCTTCTGCTACAAAGGCATTACTGGGACCGGCGATGAAGTAAACTTTTGGCATCGTCCCCGTACCGCACACCATGGCAGTAACAGCCTGGACGCCTCCGAGGACCCAGATCTCATCGGCTCCGGCATAGTACATAGCAGCCACTGTTACATTGGGAATCTTGCCCAGGATTGGGGGAGTGCACCCCACTACAGTCTGTACACCGGCAACCTTGGCAGTGACAATCGTCATGTGAGCTGAAGCTAGAAGAGGGTATCTTCCGCCAGGAATATAAATACTATGGTAAAATTATGTCTTCGATGCGGATATTGAGTTACTTACCATCCGACAGCACTGATGGGAATGTTCTTTTGGCTAAGATGGACACCGGGAGGCATTTTCAAGTTCGAAGTCTGTGATAGATTTCCGCTGTGCTTCTGCAAAGGCTCGAACATTTCTTTGGACGTTTTTGATATCTTCGATGGTCTGCTTCGGGCATGCAGCAATTGCCTTATCAATCTCACTTTTCGAGAGCCTGAATGCACGAGGCGACCATTTGTCAAATTTCTCTGAATACTTTCGAACAGCGATGTCGCCATCCTTTCTTATTGTTTCAATCACATCCCTGACTCTGGCAGGCACATCATGTGTCGACCCAGCTGTACCAGTGACTGCGGTCCCTAACGAATGATGGTCTATATGGGTCTTCAGATACTTCTTGTCCGTCATGTTTAATTATTTTGGGCACAGGCTTGTAGACGTCGAAGATGCACGTGCAATGGCTTTATGAGTGAAAAAGATTTGCGGCGATAGCACAGCGCTTGATCAATGGCGCAAGAATGAACAGTTCAACACAATTATACACTGTGTCTTTATCAATGGAGAGTGAAGACAAGAGATGACTTTATGTGATTCATGCCTGCACTGCGACTTATCCCGAAATCCTCGCCGACATCAACACTCACCGCGAGCCTCACACGATAATACTTCGAGTCCGGCCACAATTAAAGCCGTGACTATACACATTCTCCTAGTCAGACGCTCAACGGCAGGGTTCTCTCTCGGGAGGACTGATTCCGGAGTTGGAAAGAGGTTGCTAGGCCAAAACAAGCGGAAATCTTCAGCAGTCGCTGTCTTACAAAATGTCAGGATCAGTACCTTATGCTGGTTTGAAATCAGTCTAGAGAACCAGTTGAAAAGCAAAGGGAGATAGGTAATGTTGTTCTCCATGGGCTGTTGAAAAAGAGAAGGGAAGATGGTGTAGAGAAAGGTGCTCTTGCTTGAGAGTTGGGGAGCAGCCACCGCCCAGGAGTCACGAGTCACAAGTCACGACCCTGAGGCCCACGAATTTATCCCTAGCATCCTTGAACATCTCCCGTTCTCCCACGGTCACCTGACCAATCACAACGACGCTCAGACAGCTTCAGGCAATCATTGGACTTCGGGCTTCGCTAACCCGCACTGCAACAGCAGCTAGGAAGAGAATCTCACGCATTAAGAGTTCGATATGCGGGGTACCATGAACCTCCTGGGCAAGGTCCCTCTTTCCTCACAGATCCGGTGGTCCTTTTACTTTCTCAGTCAGCTCCATGGCCTCGTGAATGTCAATCATCAGATACTCCGTCCTCCTACAGGGGATGCAAAGCAGCAAAACTCACCTTCAACTCGTCCATCTCGGCATCTCAACTGGTGCTGTTCGCCACGACTGCAAGCGCATGACCCTCACCACGTAACATCATGTCGCGCTCAGAAACGCGCCCAGCCAATGATGACGGCATCTACACGCAGGTACCGACTGCGCTACTGTCCTGTCCATCGTGCCGCCGAAGGAAGGTTCGATGCGATAAGGAACTACCCTCATGCTCCCTATGTATCAAGTCATCACAAACCTGTACCTATCCTCCAGGACCATTGAAAGGGCAGGTTACCGAATCAACACCATCTTACCGAATCATACCCCTCACCAAAATTTTGGGTATGATTCGGTAAGGATTCCACAGTTCGGGGTATCAATTAGTAATTTGCCCACCATTGAAACCTGGACCCAAGCTTGGCTCCTCACAACGCCCACTGAAGAGACCTCGCCGCTTCAAGGAAGAGGCCGGCGACCAGCTCATTGACGATGATGCCTATCACAATGTTCAAAAATACAATGCCACCGAACACCAGAGGAACAGTTCATGGGACCAGGGGCTATTGTCCCGGGCATCTGCGCAGTGGCAACCACAACCTAGATCTCGAAATGAAAGAATGGATGAAGCAACTCATGCCATCACGTCTGACCACAATAATCATCAATCTCCAGGGAAGCACATGCTCCACCACTGCTTCCCGCAGTGACTCGACGTCGCTTAACCTCCCGGCACTTTCTTCCCTTATACAACCTTCTCATGAGGTGCGTTGTTTTAGAGATATTACTTCCTATCCCGGACTTCAGCCTGACTCGGGAGACATGTTTTCATCATTTGATCTTTTTCACGATTCGAATTTGTATTATGAAGTGAGCTTCTTTTCCTTGTTTTGTTCATGTTATGAAAGACTAAGCTGACTCCAAAATGCTCTCCAGTCAGCTCAGCAAACCCTTGCAGGCGAGGACGATAGCAAGGAGGTTACTATGCCAGTGTATGGGGACGAGATCTTTTCCAAGAGTGCCAAAAAGGCAATAGACTCCCAAATATGTGATACATTTCGAATTCCGCAGGAGACGGTTACCCATCTGTATGTATTTTCTCGATGATCGACTTCGTAGCCCGCCGCAAGACGGATCGCATCCATGGATGAGGCCAGGTCCCCCTCGTCGAACGCAATCTGCATACACTATACTCAGGACCTAGTGATTCGGCGGGATTCAGACCCTCACGACCCAAGAGGAGACGGCCATGCTCGTCACTCAATGTCGGTAATGAAAGATTCGCCAACACCAGTCCAGCCATTCATCGGGCTATTGCAACAGCAACAGCGTGATCAAGCGGTGTCTTTCGCTGGTGACACGGCCATGCAATGGCCGGACAGGTTCGACGATAGCGCCATCGATAGTGGTGCTTTCGTCGGCATATCAGATGGCCAACTCGACAGTTTTGACTCTGGATTGGCGGACGACCTTGACTTTTCGTTGACCAATGTGTAGAACTGGCATTCAGTTGAGTGATCTTAGGTATCCTGCGTCTTGGAATCTCGAAATCCGCGGGCTTTCCCGAAAGCTGTTTGTGGGTTGGAAATATTGGACTCTAGAGCACCAGAGAACGAGCTTTCCGGGCCCAAGTCCGTTCGCGGCCTTTAGTTCTTCGGGAAAAGGTCAATAATCGCATTGCGGATCACAATCTCAACACTCGCGGATGAGCAGGGGAGTGCTAGAATTGTGCCGGAAATGTTCCGATGGATTACCATGATCGGACAGATCCTCGCTTCTACATCATACCGGGCTCGAGTCAATCTATACTGGCGAACCTGCGTTTCCCGGCCGAGTTCATTCTGAGGCTGGGCTTGCGTCCTGATCTTAACATTCATCATTGGTCATTGAACTTAGGCATGGGTCTGATGATTGGCTTTAAGTGACTTTAAGTGACGTTTGATTTTCACAGAGATACCAGTCGCCAGTCAAGGCTGTACTCTCTCTGGACCTGGGCCTTCACATGTTGGCTCGACACATGCAAGGAACGGAAGAAGTCCGGGGCTGTGGCGATTCCAACTATCGGATGATGTTCAGAGCTTGTGCGAGTAGTGCAAATGATCTAAGTTAAATGACAATTCCAGTCCAACGCTATATCGACTGACCAGCAACATGCGTGTTTGCCCAGACAGCGAAAAATCAAACGAAGTCTAGACCTATGTCTCCTTCCCTTGTCCAAGTACCTGCCACCTCGTATTTAGGGCTAGACCTTTGAGTTTAGGTTTCGTGACAGTACTCGGGGATACGGGCCAGACAAGAACGCCACTCAGGCGGCAGCTGCATCATGTTCTCGTCATAAGCACCCTACTCTCCACGCATCGAGGACCATCCCACAGCTATACAATCTGAACAGGGTCACCACATGGGTCTACCCTCTTTATCATGCACAATCTTTTCAACGACATGTCCACAGTGGCGCTACTAGTATGAGTTCGCTAGCCTCAAATATAGTCTAGGGAGCTTGGTATTCATTTGGGGCGGCCCATCGTAGTGTGGAAACTCATATAATTCTGCGAAAAGCGGATTCGATTGCTTGAACATTGTTCAGAAACAACTATGCAGAAACCGGAGTGGATCGCCGAAATAGTCGGGGTGGTGAAGGATAATATTTGACGCATATAGTTTTATTTGCTGCTCCGCGTTTATGTGATAGCATGTTTTGGGGCTGTGTGGGTAGTAGTTTGAGGTGTATATATCTAGCAAAAAGGGTGTACGTCTAGTTCCATCCATAATCAGTCCGTGAAGAACCATTCCTTTTTAAGCAATATTTGACGCCAAACGCTTTGCTTTCAACAGTCCGTTCGGTACAACTCCACCAGCAGCAATTCGGAACGTTTGATCAAGCATGGAAGTTCCTTCCAGGGACAACAGGTCTTTCGCGTGAGGAAATGGGAGCGTTGTTTGACGATAGCGTGGTGACTCACATGACCGCCGACGGCCACGGTCTGGTCGAAGTTGACGCCATGGCTGAGTTCAAGGGAGCAGTGTTCGCGACTGGGGTGGAGCATGCAGGCGGTTACGGCGATGAGAAGGTCGGGACTCATCGGGCCACAGAGCTGAATAATTCGAATCAGTCTGATCTGTGATCAGATCAGATATGATGGCGGAGGGTTTCTGGGTTTCGATGCAAACATTTCCTGCGGGTCACTGCTGCCGTTGAAGCTCACCATGTATTCAATCTATGATGAGCTTTCAAAAATGGCGACGGAAACATGAAAGAAGAGGACCCTTGCACTGGATTAACCTATGGGGAGCATTGACTGGAGTTCTGGCAGATCAGCTTCATACTTCACGATGAATCATTCTCGCTCATCACGTGAGCATTGCCGCCATCTTCCGACTCGTCCGCCGCAACACCAACTTCGTCTTCTTTGGGCTTCTTACCCTCCCGCACCTCCTCCAAAGCGGGCACAAGCGCCACACCACTCCCAAAAAGCCTATCCAACCTCGTCGCGCGATCCCAAACCCTCCTTCCCTCCCCGTCCCCCTTCTTCCTAAAATACATGATCCGATGCTGCGGGATCCACTCCTCGTCAGTCACATCGGCCACTCCCCCTTTCCACGCCGAGACGTCCATTTCCATCATCTCGGGCGCGTGGCGGTCAATATAGCCGACGACGAAATCGGACTCGTGGAGCGAGGGGTCGTGCCGGATGCGGGAGAGAACGTCTTTGGCGGGTCGCAGCGAGGGTTTGGAGTTCTGGTTGCGATGTGCGGCTTTGCGGGCCTTCTTCGCTCGTGATCGGGAAGTTGTGGGTTTGCGGGATGGGGATGGTGAAGAGTCGGAGGAGGGAGAGTCACTGTCGTTGGCGGAGGCGTGTTCGGCCGCAGATGGATGTAGAGGGATCATGTCTTCGCTGGCTTCGAGGGATGGGGGTGGGTGCATGCTGAATAAGGAAAAATCTGGATCTTCCAAAGCATGTGAAGTCTTCGTAGGAGCCATGGCTTTGCACGAAGTGGAGATGTGTTGCTTGGTAAGAAGGAGAAGTATTGACAAAGCAGGTGGATCCGGCAAAGCCAGTCTTATTGCTGAATAATCTTTGGTAGTAACTTGAACTCTAGTCTATGATAGCGAAAGACCATGGTACATATATAAGCTGCAATCTGATTTTGCCGAGCCCAGTTGGATTGAGTCATCCGGTGGCTATGACGATACCAAGCTTACACCAAATGGAAAGAACGCCTGATGGATGACTCCCAGACATAGTGAGAAATTTTCAATACTTAGCTCAACAAGAATTGACACTGTGATTTTGCAGGCAGTCTTCAAGTTGTCCAGAGTTGTATACTAGTACAATCGATCTTCAATTGTCCGAGGGGTCGTAAAGTAGAGAACAGCCAAGGCGCGCTAAATTGGAAGATTCCGAACATTTACCGGCGGCCATCTGTCTCGAGCCGACACCTCTTGCACCTCACATTTTACACACTCTTTTCTTTTCTCTGTGAATCCACTGCTACCTAATCTGCAAGGCTCATAAGTGAGGTGCGAGGCTGAGTCCTTAAGGCCGGAACCAGCGCTGTTCTAATCTCCACCATGTCTGCCCACCACTACGACAGAGAGCCCGCCTACAACGGCCGCACACTCTCTGGTACTCAATATCACGGGGATCGAAATGGCAGAATGTATGAAGACCAGTACTATAGGTCACGATCAAGGGACCGATACCGAAGGAGTCGATCACCTCGCGCACGATACTCATCTCCTCCGCATGGTAAACCATAAATAAGGACACTTACATCGCTCAACCTGCGCGTCTGCTAATATTACGTTTGGGAAGATCGGAACAAGTCGTCACATAGTGGGGATGAATTCGCAATCAAGGGTGCTTCCACTCGCCGAGAGAGGGACGTAGCGATTCCACGACCAGAGAACAGAGGATACGAGGACTACCAGCGAGGCCGATCTCCATCACCCCGAGGAAGAGAAAGAGCGCCATATCGAGACAGGGACCACGAAAGCTACAGATCGCTCAGCTATGACAACCGCAGCCGCAGTCGGAGGCGAAGCCGTAATCAAAGCCGCAGCCGCAGCCAGAGCAGGGATCGATCACCATACTATGGAGGCCCACCCAGTAGGGAAGTGATGTTGGAAGGGCTTTTGCTGGATATGGTAGAGGAAGACGTTGGCCACCCCATCCACCATACGCTCAATACACCAATATGAACACCAAAGCCTAAGTGTGATTGAAAATTGCATTCGGACTCTGGCTAAGACGTGGCATATTCCAAATCCCACAGATCTCGAAAGAGTTGAAGCAATACCACCATGTTGAGAGACTCGAAGACGTACGAGTTATTCGAGACCGACAGACGAGTACGATCTTTCCCTCAACGATACGTGTTGGGAGGCATGCTGAATTGATCTCAGAGGCGTCCCGAGGCTTTGGCTTCATAAGGTTCCCGGCTCTTGAAGATTCAAAGGCTTTCGTGGAGCGCAACTACCCAATGATCTACCTTTTTGGTAATGGTTCATCAGATAATGACGATCAAGCAGCCAAAGTCCGAATAGCATACAGCCGTGAGCGGGATGATCGGAGCCGCGGCGAGAAGGCGGAAGGAGAATGGATCTGCAAGATTGTGAGACATCCTCAAGCCAGGCAAACTTATGGCACCACTAAGAGCTCTAGTGCACATTTGTCAATTTTCCGGGCCGTACGAAATGTCACAGGTGTCAGACACCGCAGATCGGTGCGTGTAAAAACACCGGAGAGCTAGAAATTTTGTTGATAAATATAGATATGGCTACGTTCAACCAAGCAGCAGCAGCAAAACCTCAATACATGAACAGTGGAGACAGCGATGCTTCACCGAATGGCACACCCTCGCAATTCCTTCTCATCCGGAACCTAGAACCTACAGTGACGGAAGATCTCCTCGCGAAAGGCGTGACCAAACTATACAAGCCAGGCAGACGCTCATCACCGCCTGCCGCTACGGCATCGAAGAAGAACAATGCCAAAGTCGCATCGACTACTGGCGACGCAAATCTCGGTGCTAAGGAGGGAAGCCTTAGAAGGATACTACTCGTCCGGGATAGGCGGAACAACGAAAGCTGGCGCTATGGGTTTGCTGAGTTTGCTACGATTGAGGTGATATTACAGATTCTGGATAATTATCGCCGCTGACAAGATTACGGTAGGATGCACAAGCCGCCCTGACTCGCTATAAATCGTTCGAAAAGTTCACAATTTCCTCGAAGCCTGTCACTGCTGATTATGTACATGCTGGTGTATTCATTCCTATCTTCAATACATCCAAAGAGACAGAGCGCTTTACATTCAGTCCACTGGGGAACACAGCTACCAAGCTTGCTTACTGGGATGAAGACGCTTGGGCCAGTGAACTTGCTGTATCCACCGGCTCGCCAAAATTGGGTTCAGCAGCGGGTGAAGGTCAAGTTCGATCTGCTGCCGACCAAGCAGCGGCAGCGGCTGAGAACGAAGGTCTTTTGAGGCCTGGAAATGAGGCCGACACTAGGATGAAGAAGAGGAAAGCAGAGGCCAACGCTACAGCCAAACAGAAAAAGGTACTTCTAAATTCGGAATATAATAAGCAGCGTCGACTAATATGTTTCAGACTGCACCTGCGCATCTGCAATTCTGGAGTAACCGCCATGCAGAGCTTCATGGCGTGAAACCGGATATATCCACGGAGAATGGGCACGAAAGTAAAGAAATGTCAGAGGTGAAGGAAGAGGTGAAGGAAACAAACGCTCTTCCGCAAACCTACGCCAACTTGGCCAAGAAATGCTGCTATCTATGCTCCCGCCAATTTAAGACCGAAGCTGAGGTAAACCAGCATGAGCGTGTCAGCGATCTTCACCAAAGTAAACTCAAGGACGCAGACCTGGTAGCAAAGGCTCAGAGCAAGATGATCAAAGCAGGCATTCCATTGACAGCGGTTTCTGAAGACTCTTCAGAGTACCGTGATCGAGCTAGGGAAAGACGTGCTGCTTTCGGCGCTGGCAAGAAAATCTCACTTCCGCTTAAAAAATCAGCAACTCAACCAGACGAAGAGACAAAAGACGAGCCGGCTCCAGCGCCATCGAGGGGCGCTTCCTTGCTAGGAAAGATGGGTTGGTCTGCGGGTGAAGGTCTTGGAGCTCAGGGGACAGGGATGACGGCACCGATAGCTACTGATATGTATGTGCAAGGAGTTGGGTTGGGGGCTCAAGGGGGGAAAATCGGCGATGCGTCTGAGGAGGCAGAGAGGAATACGAAAGGAGGTTACGGGGACTTCTTGGAGAGGACGAAGGATAAGGCGAAGGAGAGGTTTGAGAGGATGGCTTGATGTAGGTCATGGGAAAAGTGATTTGCTTATCCGGCTTTATTGCTACAATCCGATGGTAATGAAGATAGAGGACCAATAATTCCTTGTTGATACTCTCTCAAGTGCCCAGAATGATGATCGGTAGCGCAAGGAATGGCTTCCTGGTCTAAGCTGAAGCTTCGGTTGTGCTCGAATACGGCCCAAAAGATTCGTGCCTCCTAATAGTTGATCAACAGGCTTCGGTATCCTGCTGACTAGTTCCTCCCGGTGTGGCTACTTATGCGCCGGAGAAGGAAACATTCAAACCCAAGCGTGGACCAAGAGCCGCCATGAGTGGAGAAATCAAATGGACAACTTCGCCTAAGCGCATCGAAGATACGGATATATACCCAAGACAAGAAAGAACCATTCCAATGCGCATTGAAAGATGCTTTTGAAAAACGCTGACCACAAGCAAAATCTATCCTAACAATGGCACCTCCCCAATGCCAAATGCATCAGTCTGGACGTTTACCACACTCTCTCTCTCACGGAGTTCCATCTCCCCTGCCCTGCTGGAACGATGTTGGCGCGTGAATCAGCAGCATAAACTGCATTACTGCAAACATCGGCACCGTGTCAAAGACATACGGGAATACTTCGTGGCTGTTGATATTTCCTTCATATTTCTGGAAGTATTGCACGACTCTCACAGGATATCGCACAAGAACCAGCGCGCTTGCGGCATCTAGACCGCGCATGTGTTTCTGCTACGGCAGAGATGACCGAGGTTGCTGCGTCGGCTGGCGTAGAACCCTGGTGTGGAACGCTGTCGTCACGTAGGAAGAGAAGGATCTGGCCTGTGTGCTGTAACTTTTCCGTCTTCCCGGCTTGCAGTCATGCGCCGGCGCGTGGGACTCGGATGGTATGACGTCTGGAATGTCGGGGATCTTGGTGAGGTTGTGGATGTTGATGAGGGAGTGGTGTGCTGCGTTCAAGGGACGTATGGTGCTGCCGACTATCGTGTAGATGGTTGCCGGCGAAAAGAGCTGGAGCACCAGAACGAGTATGGGAGAGATGACATTGGGACCGAGGGATTGGATGTGGAGATAGGAAACGGAGCGATCGGGGTAGGCTATGGGTTCGACTGAGAGGGGGGGATTAGTTGGTGCCAACGGGAAAGGGGAGAAAGGACGAACACTTTTCGATGTGTCCAAACTACACATGCTCTTTCGCTGCACACACTCCACACACTGATTCCTGTTCCAGAACTTGTCCTGCTCAACAGTGATGCACCACAAGCGAGCCCGTTGACACTCTTTACATCCAGATTTTCTTTCCAACTCATGGATGACTGCCATTTGGCCGCTAAGTGGAAACTCTCTGCGACCATAACCCGCAAGCACCCTGTGCGCGGGTAACGGTTTACCATCCTTGTCAGGGCTATCCCTTGCGGCCTGGTCGAGGATAGCTTTGCGTGCAGCCTGTTCTTCGCGCTTGGTACGTGTCGCGGAAGGAGGGTGATGCTTGCAGGAACAAGGCCGTTCCGAACGTAAACAGGGAAACCAGCCATTAGGGAGTTTCAGACCACTTTTTTTAGGCGTGGATTTTTCAGATCGTGGGAAAATGAGCGATTTGCCATCAACCGTTCCACGCCATCCACCAAAGGTACCCTGGGGTAGCATTAGTGAAGAAAATCGGTCTATTTAATAGATTTCTCGTGTCGATATTCTATATCTCTTAGCAAATCTATTTAATTAGAAGGTTTTCCTTCTTATCACTACTACTACTATTTACCTTCCATTGTTATCACCTCTTATACGTCTACGTCTTTCCTACCGTCCTTCCTACCATCCTTCCTATCGTCCTTTCTATCGTCCTTTCTACTACGTTATCGCGGACACCTTCCCCCCCTTAATAGCGCGAAAGAAAGCCTCTACGAATAAAGCTCTTAAGACGCTTCGAGCCCTCGCCATTAAATAGATAAAATAGAATATCGATCTTATAGTATAATAGTTTTATAATTACAATAAGAAAGGAGTTATAATTAATTATAAGATATAGGCGATAAGTATATATACGAATATAGTAAAAAGAATACTTAAAGATATAAGATTAATTAATAAGTTATTAATAATAAGTAAAGGCCTATAAATTAAATTCATAAAGTTGGATTTTTCTAAGTTAAATGGAATTTTAGCTCTAGCCCTAAGTCAAATCGAACTCTAATCGCTTGCTGTGCGTTTTTAATCTACTTTTACTATTACGAAATTAATAAAGAAGATAAAAGCTCTAACTCTAAGTTAAATCGAATTCTATTTACTTTCTATACGATAAATAGTCTATTTCTATTACTATAGATTACTAACTAATTATATTCTTATTTAAAAAAATAGTATCTACTTAATAATCTTATTCTTAATATATCTCGTTAATCGAGTAAATTATCTTTTTAATAGATCGTCTAAGATTATAATTAATAGATTAATCTTATTAATAACTCGACTTAGAATTATATATAATTAATTATAGATAAAGATCTTAAAATATAGATATAAATCGATCTACTATAATAATTAGCTCTAGAACTTATTAATTATTATACTAAAGATCAATTAAATTAGAAATTAAATACGTCGAAAAGAAGTATATAGATCGTTTAAATTAGGCGGAGCTAGAGGGATATATAATATATAATATCGTTTATTATTATATTCGCCTTTAAGAATATAATAATCGAGTATTTTAGACTTAATATATTTAATTTATAGATATATTCTATTATATAAATCTATATATTACTTTAAATTTCTTAATAATATTATTATATAATTCTATTTTAACTTTAAATAATAAGATGAAAGCGAGATTAATTTAAAGATATTTATTATTTTAGTAGATAGAAGAAAGCTATCTTTCTTATTAACGACTTAATTTCTACTATTATAAATAATCTTAATCTTAAAGAACTTATTAAGAACTTAACTATTAAATTAAATAATATTCTTATTAAGAATATAAAGAATCGTCTTAAATATATAGAAATTAGCTATTTAATATAGACTAAGATTATTATAAATAATATTAATTAGCTAAGTAATAAAGTCGTTTAATAGCTACCCGATAGACTAATTAATAACTTTTTATCCTTCGAAGCTTACTAAGATATTATTATCTATATCTAATAGCCTTTAAGCGAATTCCTTTATATTAGTTTAATCTTAATTAGTTAGATTAGAGTTTCGAAATCTTATATTTTCTATAAGTCTAAAAATTTAAATATTATTTTAAAGATAAAACGCTCTTAATATAGCTCGAGCGATATAATCTAACTTAGTATTCTTAATAACTAGAAGAATTTAATAAAAGTTATTATAGAAGTATATAACTATATTATTAAAAGAAGTAAGATTCTTTCGAATATCTTAAAGCATATAATCGATAGTCTCGATATTATAGCGATTTTATATAAAGATCTTATTTTAGAAAATAAGCTCGATTACCTCTAATAACTAAGCTAAATTAGATTTTATTAATATATTATAATTAGACTAAGTAATAGTATTAAGAAAGATTTTAAAGTAAGAATAAGTAATAACGCTATCTTAAAGAAGAATAAAGGCGATATTAGATAAAGTTATAATAATAACTATTTTAGAGTTATTTCGTACTCTTCGCAATATAATATTCTAAAGTATAATCTTATTAATATCTTTATAGCTATCGAGAAAGAAGAGTTAATTATTAGAATAAGAGATCGCGTTTTAAATAGCGTTAGCTATAGTAATTTAATCGTTATTAAAACTTATCTATATTTACTCTTAAATATTAATTCGATAGCTATGTTCTTCACGTAGGAGTTAATTTCGATTATTAATATAATATCATTTATAGTCTTATTAGATTACGAATAGATTAAAGTTAATAATAAGACTAATATCCTTTATAGAGCTAGTATTACTTTTCTTTAAGCGAATTTAAATTAAATAAAAATAGAAGTCTTCGACGACGATCTATTTATATTATATATTATTCGATAAAGAAAGAATATAATACTAAGTCTAAAGAATATAAATAAGATTATTAAATAATCTAAATAAAGAATAATATATATTAGTTAAGAAATATATGTAAAGTGCGAGAGGAGAATTAAATTATTTATAAGTAAAAAAAGGAAAAATATATCTAGCGCGAAAAGTTTTAATAGCTAAAAAAAGAATATTATATTAAAAAATATCGCGATATTTTATAACCACTATTAGCGCGATAATCTTTTTATTCTATAGCTTAAAACACTTTAACTTATTAAAGAAATTACTAAGAAAAAATATATCTAACGCGAAAAGTTTTAGTATATAAAAAAAGAAACATTATATTAAAAAAAGTCGTAATGTTTTAATATTATTATTAGCGCGATAAACTATTTATATTATATTTAAAGTATTTCTATTTAATAAAGAAGAAATTATCTATATATCTTAATTTATAATTATTTTATAGATTTAGAGAGTTATTAAGCTTATATTATAGTAGAATTATTATAAAGAGACCTCGTAAAGCGTATCCTCTCTATTAAATCGCTACTTTATTTAATATTTAATTCTATTTAATATTATTATAAAGTAAATTTTTTATTATATAGATATTATAGTAGAAAGAAAGAATATTATTATTTATTATATATAAGTCTTCGAAGGATATAGAGTTTAATATATTTAGAAGGAGGTATCGTAGATAGAAGAGCTCTCTAACATTTAAATTAATATAGTATATTCTTATAATAATACTCTTATACCTCTAATATAAACTCTATTTAAATATATCTTATTTATTCTTTTTTTAAATATATTACTTCGATAAATTAATATAAAAGAGATCTTCTATTTATCTTCTCTATTAACGCTATTAATTTAGCTAAAATAAGGCTATTAACTTAATCTAGCGTTTATATACTATATTAATTATCTAATTTAGATTATTATTATTATTAAATATTATATTATATTAATTTAGAAAGTAAATAGATAATTATTCGATAGAAGGATTATAATTATATAATTTAAAGCTAAAAATCCTTTAATAGACTTTCGTAGAGCTTATTTATTATACGTCTTAATACTCTTAAATCTTATTTATCTAATCTAGACCTATATCGTCTTAATTTATATCGCTCTTATACTCTATTTAAAGACTAGTCTAATCGCTATTCTTATAAATATACTTAAAAATATATTTATAAATTTTAACGTTGGCGTAAATCTCTATATTAATATAAGCGTTATATTTAATCGATAAATAGAAATTATAAGATATTACTTAGTAGTTCTACTTAGAATTATCGTTTAATATCTTAATAGGCCTATATCGATAATATATAAAATACTTAAAATCTAATTTAAAGACGATATAGTCGCTAAAGTCCTTCGGAAACCGCTTATTATATATGTTTTTATCTAAGTTCTAATAAGGCGAGATAGTATCTATTCTACTAGTAATATACTAGCTATAGTTTTTATAAAGTATATATCTAATAACGGTCGCATAGAGATTAGAAAATAGACTTTAATTAAGAATCTTAATACTAATAGCGATATCTATCTTAGCGACGCTAAAGAATTAATCTTTAAAGTATAATATAATAAGAATATAGATATACGATAGATCTTATTTTTAAAATTCTATAATATAGATATAGGCGGGAACTCGATCTATTACTTATAAAGTTAGTTAAGATTAAAGTTAATCGACATTTTAATTAATTATACTTCGCCCTTATAAGGGTGAAAAAAAAAATAGACGATATCGTAGGGCTAACTGATAGGAATTATAGCGTATAAGAAGTTAAATCGTGCTAGAAGTATTCTTAGGGACTGTAATCTATATTAACTATCTGACTGATATATCGTCTAAGAGGCTATTTTACTAGATGAGAAGAGAGAGAACTACTATACTATAATGGGGGGTAAAAAGAATAGAAGTATATCTAGTATCTTCCCCTTTAGAATATTATTTATAAGGGCTTTTAGCTTTAGTCTAAATATTCTAGTAATTAGATTAAATCGATTAATAACGCGTTTGCCGAGTAAAAGATTTTTAATAATCTCGATCTATTTTAGATTATAGATAAAAGTTATAAAGAGATTTAGTCGATTAAACTTAGTAAATAGGGTAATAGTATTCTAATAGAGTTATTTTATAAATTATAAGTCTTTTTAATAAGAGAAAGAAAGAACGATATATTATTTGCCAGTCTAATTATCTATAATGACTTTATTAATATAAGTATCGACGACTACTTAATAGATATTAGTCTAAATAATCTTTTAATTTATCTTTAATTAATAAAGTTTATTATTTTCGATAGTTATATAGATATTATAGATGAAATATTATAGTAATTTATTATAGTAAAGAAGACGATTAAACTTATTAGAATAATTCTATATTATATATCTATAAAAAGTTAGCGATTAATAGAATAGAAGAAATAAATAATATAGATCTATAATATAAGATAAGCGTTACTCGTATAGAGTTACCTCGACTAATAGTTTTATTAACTTATAGAGCGATTTCATTATTACTATGTTAATAGATAAGAAGACTTTTATCTAGTATAACGCCTATATTAAGTATATTATTATATTATAACTATTCGTCGAATAAGAAGATAATAAGATAGTATAAGGGTATATAGATTAAATACTAATATAAAATATTAAATCTCTTATTACTTTAAGTCTTTATTAAGATATTCTTAGCCTTAAGTAGATTTAATAGATTATTTATATTACTCTTCTAAGCGATAGCGATCTTATTTAAAGTAGAATAATTATAGATATATAAATTATAATATTATAGATTCTTATAAAATAGCTTATAGCTTTATATATCTAAATCGATCTTTAATTTTTCGAATATCGATTTGAGAATAGTAATATATAAATTAATACTTCTAAAAATTATAGCTATTTTGCGATAAAGTATCTAATTAATATATTTATAATAGCTATATCTAGTAAAGTTAATATAAAAAACGCGATCGAGAGAAAGTTATATCGTATTATAAATTAATCTTAAGTATTATCTATAATATAGATTTAATTAAAAATCGATTTTTCGCTCTTTAGAGGCGCTAAGGCAGATATATAAGTAGTAATCGCTCTCTAGATTTTATATATATAGAGAGCGATTAAATAATTAATAGTAATCTACTATAAGACTATAGAGGTCGTATTATTATATTAAACGCTATAACGACGAAATTCTTTATAATTATTAATAAAATTTAAGATCTCTAATATTAAAGAATAGAGAATTTAATTAATAATATACTCGCTAAGATTAATTAAATTATTTATACTTATTTCGACGCCTTTATAGCCCTATTCTATATTATCCACTTCTTAATCGATATCTATTTTAAATATATCGACTTTAGTCTTTTCGCTATCGCAGTATTACTTAATTATCTTATCTTTTTATAACGTCGTATTATAGCTATTATAAATCTAGTCTATAAAACTTAAATTATATTATATAGACTTTATAATATATAGATAATACGCGATATAGTTAATAAATCTTATTAAAGGCTAAGTAAGATTTAAATAAAGGCTAGAAGATAAGTTATAAGAATATAAATTATCGAAAGAGTTATTATTAAAGAAGTCTATTAATAGATCTTATAATAGAGAATTTTTAATAGCGTCTTTCTTTCGTTTAAAAGCTTCTTTTTAATAATATTTAAGATTTAATACGCGTTAAGAGACTTTAAAATAAAGTAATAAAGAATAAATAGAGAAGAAAGATGTATTTTAAAAGATAGTATCGCTAGATTAAAAGATATTATCGCTAGCTTAAGAGAAGTATATAAAAAAGAATATATTCGTTTAGACTCTTTTTAAGAGTCTTTTAACGCGTTTATAAGTAGTAATAAATAGCTATTAAACTCGCTTACGGCCTCGATTACTAGTAGTAATAAATTCGTTAAGAGACGACTTAGAGATATTAATAGAGGCTCTAAAAGAGAAGTAGAAGGGGTATATATACTTTATAAATTTAATAATATAAGAGCGAGGGGTAAAGAGGGTAAATATATTTATATTAATAAAATTAGTAGAATTAATAAAGTAATAGAGAAATAATAATTATATAAATAGATAAAAGAATTATTATTCGATCTCGAACGCGTTTAATATAATTATAATATTTAAATATTAATTTAACTTATTAATAGTAGATTAAACTTTATTATTTTTATAGCGTTAGAAAGCGTATATTAAGCTTTATAATTTATGAAATTATAAAGTAATAATATATATAGAGAGCTAGTTATTTCAAAGGAGAAGACTTCTATATATAGATTTTTATAGATTTTTAATAATTGCGAATGCTAATTTATTTACTCGCGGTATCTAACTAAAAAGCGTAGATCTAATAAATTTATAATTAACTACACATACAAATTCAAGGTTTTCTAGTTTAGTCTTATCTTATTCTATTATATATAATAATAAGAAAGAAGATCTCTGATAAAATAGATACTATAATTAAGAACTATAAGAATATAAGAATAAAGGTCGAAGGGTCTAGCTAAAGCATTAATACTAATACTTATAAGATATATAATTTAAATAACTTATATAGCACTATAGTAAAAGACTTTATTTTTAAGAAGTATTTATAATTCTATAACTTCGAAGGCGTTTATAACGATTATCTCGGCGTTAATTCTTTAGTTATTATTAAATCTAAATAGCCCCCACAACGTAATAAATAGATTATCGAGGAGATAGATGTTACGGTACGCCAAGGCCTCCTCCAGAGCCACCACCCATTTGGGCCTAGCGTGGCTTGGCACCGCACATATCTGCCCTGCGGGCACATAGAATAATCAACATCTTTTACACCACACATGAATTCATGACCCAGTCATCCATTTCCTTGACAATTGGTAGCAACACCTAACCCAGGTCCTCCCAAGTCGTCTATACCGTCACTCGACCCGCAGTCACGATATACCGACAGTCAGCCCCCGCGCTCCGCTACGCAGCTAGATTCAGTCTACGCAAAAACCAGCCAATCAAGTCAATCCTTTCAATAGGCCATTTGACATCTACATCATGGCCCCACCAGCCAATCAGAAGAAGGGCAAGAATCGTCAGGCCACAGCAGAGCCAGAAGACGAAGAAAACAACGGAGAAACAAGCGGAGAACTCGTGCCAAGCACCTCCCACCAAGCCGTCAACACACCAAATCCACAGTCAATGGTCCCCAGCCTCTCACAAGATACGATCAATGGCCTAATGACTGCATTTGGTGGTATCATGCGTCAAGAAATGCAGAGATTTGAGCAGAGATTAGAGAGAATCGAACAGTTTTTGGGCCCCGCACTATACCAAAATCCTACTTCATCTCCCAATCCTACTCCGCTTCCCAGCATTGAAATACCACAGCAGAACCTCTCTCACACGAACGACTCGTCCTACCATACAAATCCAGGCCACTTACGAGCGGAGGAGATGGGATACTTCGATCTACAACAGGCAAATGTGGAGAAAACTGCGGAGAAATTTACGGAGAAGACTATGGAGAAGAACAAGAGCACGGGCAGCAGCAGTCCTATTCAAGCGGGCACACTCTCCACAATTCCACATCAGGCCACTATGCATATTTGCGGAGAACCTTCCCCTCGCCTCAGCAATACACCAGTTTTCGCCACGCCTCTCGCCTCTCTTCTCACCTCTCAACTCGCCTCTCCGCTCGGTTACACTCGATTCGCGAAGGATATGGAGGCTATAGGCCAAGGATAGGTGCATGGACATATGGACGGCGCATGCTCAATGTAGCTATCCAGAGATGCAGCCACGAGGACGTGTCTTTTTTTTCATTCTTTGCGGGCATGTTGTTACGGTACGCCAAGGCCTCCTCCAGAGCCACCACCCATTTGGGCCTAGCGTGGCTTGGCACCGCACATATCTGCCCTGCGGGCACATAGAATAATCAACATCTTTTACACCACCATGAATTCATGACCCAGTCATCCATTTCCTTGACAATAAATCTTAATAAATTTAATAATAAAGATATAGAGGATAATACTAATAAGAAAGTATTAGAAGAATATAAGAAATCTATAATTAAGAAAGAGAAAGAGATTAATAAAGTGGAAGACTCGAACTTTAGATATTTAACTTATTCTTTAGCTATAGCGATCTTAGATAGAATAAAAATAGCGAAGAAAATAATTAAGAAGATTATTCTTTCTTCTCTTTTAAACGTCGATATCTATAACTTCCTTAATAAGTTTTCTTTTAAAAACCTCTTACTTAGCTATTTAAAACGCTTATTCTATATCACTTTAAGATAGTCTTAATTAAAATCGTAGAGTAATTCTTTATAAAGATATTCGAATAAGTTTCTATATAAGCTCTTAAAGCTTCTAAAGCTCTTAAAGCGAAAGATAAATTAAATATTTCGAAGAGAGTTAAATAATTAGCTATATCGAAAAACTCAAATAGCGATAATATTAAGAAGTCTCGTTATAATCGCTAGAAATCTAATAAAGAACGAATAATTATAGCGAAATCGATATTCGAATAAATAAAGATAGATAACTTTTATTAAAGAGAGCTTGCTAAAAATGAAAGAAAAAATTATTATTAATAATTTAAGCTTAAAAGATAGTAGCGTAATCTTTATTATATCTCTAAAATAGCTCGCTTTAATATTCTTATTAATAAAAATAAAAAGAGAGTACTATATCTTTAATATGAAATGCGAAAGTATAAAGAATAATAGCGAGGATATAACGTTTTTAGATTCTCGAATAGTAATTAAATATAGAGTTAAATAATAGTTTTAAAAGTATTTACGAAGAGATATAAAGTTAAATATATATATAGCACTCTACTCGAGTCGATTTAATAGTAATTTTATATTATATTACGCTCTAAGATTATAATATTTCTTATAAATATTTAATTATCTTCTTCTACTATTCGTTTAAAAAAATATAAGATTTATATAAAGTATAGTTAAAGAAGAAAATACTTATAAAGAAGATTTTCTTCTTCGTAAAGTATTAAAATATAGTGTTATAAAATATCGTGAGTATTCTATTAAGAATAAGTATATTTTATATATTAAATATACTCGCGCTAAGCCTAGTACTGAAATTCTATATTAATTTATCGCGCTATATCTTTTAAAAAGAATTAAATATCGTTATTTATAATTGTATCTCTATCTTCACTTTAATTTTCTTACTATATAAAAAAAATAAAAATTAAGACGTCTTTCTAAGAATTATAGCTCTTATTATCTCTCTCTTATTATATCTCTAACGTCGCTATAGCGATATAAGACTAAGAAATTCATTATTATATCTATTATCGTCGTCGTCTTTAATCTACTATTCTTCTTCTTTAATTTAAATATCGTTAAGATTTAATAGAATATTATAAAGAATAACGTAGATAGTAATTTATATATATATAAATTTATACTACTTATTAATATCTAAGATTAATCTTAGTCCGATAAGACTCTTTTATCTCCCCTTAAGAATATCGAATATATATTCGATATCGATTCTCACGCTGGAAAGCCGTCTATTAAATATTTAAATTCTTCTTTATCTCGTATATAAAGCTTTATATAGCGAAACTAAGTACTCTATATTAGAGTATATACTATCGATAAGTATATATTATTCTATTAAGAAGTAGACTTTTAAGTCTTAATATAATCGAGTATAATCTTATACTCTTATATTATAAGTAATATTTAAAAAGTCGATAAGTATATAGATAAATCTCTTCGACGAGTTATATATACCGTAAAGATTAATTATATATCTCTTCTTTCTATTAAAGAAATTTTTATTATTAAATACACTTTTAGATTTATATAGCAATACGATATCTATTTTATTCGCCTTTTCTATTACTTCGAGAGGGTCTTCTCTATTATTATTTACTATACTCTTATATCGTCGCTCTATTTTAGAGAATTATCGAATATACTATTCTTATAGCTAAAATAGAGCTACTATAACCCGTTTTATATAATTATTTATATATCTCTTTAAGACGCCTTATTAATTAACTAAAAAATAATAATTACTTACGCTTTTATTATATTCTAGCTTTTATAATATAATCTTAAATTATATTTTAATTAAAGCTTATTAATAAGAGAAGTTATTATAAAATATAGAATTATAAGAGATAAGTTAAAGAATATATTAAAAACTCTTAGAACTTATATAAGTAAAGACTCGCTATCGAGCGTTATTATATTAAAAAAGAATATAACTCGTTTAATCTAATTTAGATATAAAAAATCGCGGCTTTATATAACGCTGCTTTATAAATACTTTATAGATTACTAGTTATCTTCTTATTATATAGTATCTAGAATCGCGCTTTATATAACTAATAAGAAAGAGATAGAATAATTTATATCTATATACTTCTTTTTTTAATAAATAAGATATAATTATATAAGAATTTAGAGTAGAAAGAATTAGATATAAAAAAGATTATATGATTTTCTCAGGTAATAACTAAGCGGATTTATTATAAATCTACCAAAGAAGCCTATTTGATAGTGGGGGTATTCAGACTAATCTAGACAATTCCATTTTTCCATAGCTGAAAGTCTGAATATTCCACTATTCCACAGCAAAAAAAAAAGTGATCTGAAACTCCCTATTGTCTATGCCAACTTTAGCAAGACTTTCCACAGCCTTGACCGCAGACCGAACATTCTGATCGATCTCTATCGCTGTAGAGGAATTCCCTATAATTGATTCTAAATACTGGGCACCTTGCACAAGGGAGGAAAGGGTCTCCGGATCAAGACTCGAAGCACCCGATGTCTTGGAGTCAATTCTAGCTGCAGCTGGATCCTCGAAAGTTGTTTCAAACTGCGTCAAGGATCGCTGTTCCCCATGTTGGCTATGATGATCTGCTGGAGGGCCAAAGGGAGGAACGGTGTTATATCGGCCAGGGCGATATTGGCTCGGACTATCCGGCTTTGTGATCCGAGAATCCTTGACCATAGAAAGAACCCTAGACGGAGGAAGTGACTGAGAACGATGGTTCGTAAGACCCATATCAGGAGATCATAGATTGAAGTGATGTGGATACGAAGGTGGAAAGCAGTTTGAAGACGCGTTGTGGTTTGAACACGCGAGGGACATTAGAAAGTAAATAAGGTGGTAAGTAGGCACCCTCCCCAAATGAAGCATCTGCACCTTCACATCCGTGCTCAAACAGCAGTCAAAGATTGGTTGTTGGCACGCATGATTGCAAACAAAAGCGAAACGGGATAATGATGAATTAATAGTAACAAATACGTGTGCATCCATCATATGATATAGGCATGTACCGCACAGACAAAACGTACAAATATGTGAACCGCAAGGTACAACGAAAAGCGAGCATTCACCCTCGCCGCATCAAACAATTGAACTTCAACATCAGTGCTCCGATAGCAATAAAGTAGCAGCCGAACATTGCTCATTGGCACGCCTAATGCAAATTGAAGCAGAGCAGGACCGGGCACCGTTTATACCGATCCGATATAGCCAATTAACCCTGATTAGCTTTGTCAAGAGCATCCATCACGTGATTTCCCGAAACTGGAACTTTTTTTGCTAGTTTTTTTCTTTCTTGTTGCCTCGGACGTAATAACATAGATTTTTAATTTTCGAAAAGAAAAGGTTTAAATTTAAGTCTTATTCTATCTAAAACGTAAAGAGTTCTTAAATTTAATTTAAAATTAATTAATTTAATATTAAGCTAAATTACTTTACGTTTAAAATAAACTATTACGATTTATATTAATATATATATCTATTCGAGCCTAGCCCTTATTAATAGAGCTTTACTTATTTCTTATTTCTATTTATAGTATAGGCCTTCTTATTAATTAAATTCTCGTTATATCTTATTATAGACTTAGTCTAGTACGATTCTAATAAGATCGATTCTTTAAGAAGTTAGTATTATATTAAAATATCTTCGATTCCATTAAAATATCAGGTATGTGATGTGTAGAACGGACGGATTGTTTTTCCAGGCCTCTCCGGGGCCAGGCCTAAATACAGTACAAAATCAGGTGGCTGATCAACACGGTGGCTGGGAAGCGTGGGGGCCAAATTCGACATGCCCCTGCATCAAATTTCGACAGATTCCTAAGCCCGCGGGAGCCCCGCGACCATCGGGCCTAGGGGCCTTAGTACGGGGTACCCGAGCCCTAGACGTACCCTACGGCCTCCCTATACGACCCCCCTAAATCTCGATAGCGAGATTGCGGCCCTCTAGTATATTATACTTCGTTATATATAGTTAAAAATATAAGTAACTTCTAAGTACGATAAATCTCTTTCAGATAAAAGAAATTTAAATATATCTATTTAACGAAGCTAGATTTATAGATTTAGAATAATTATAGAAATTATATAGAAAAGTTAATAAATATAAAACGATCCAGTTAACTAATAAAATTAATATTAAAAGAGATTTTTTTTTTTAAATACTAAGAGTATAAATATCTAACTTTATTTAGATAGGATCGGAATATTAAATGTAGTAAAGAATCTTGTGGAATAGAGTTCAAAAATGGAGGTTGAGGGTGCGTAAAATGGCTGTGGCCGATCCGATTCTAGCGTGTCTTCCGCGTAACAGGTACTTGATCTTGGCGCTGCGACATAGATGGTTGTCTCACGGCCTCGGATCTGAGCTCGGATCTCAACCACATGCGAGGTATGGAATCACACCAGACTTCCGTAAGAAAAAGACGCAATCGCGAGCATCACAATTCTAGAAACGGCTGTCTTCAATGCAAAGCACGCAAGGTCAAGGTCGGTGTCCTTTACCCTTTTGAAAATGGCGCCTGCTCACCCTCGGTGTTACAGTGCGACGAAGAAAAACCCAAGTGCCGAAGCTGCACTCGGAGAGCTACACCCTGTACATACACCAACAACATTGGCTTAAATCATCTCGCGCGAGCTGTGCAGGTATCTTCGCCATACAACAAGCCCGAGCCAAGCTCCACCTTCGCACCCGTACCATACAACCATGGTGACTTCATATCCAATGGGAACAATCTTCTCCAGGCGGACGGCTCATTGCAAATGCCATCCCCCTCACCCTTGGCCCTCAACATGGCCCATCTAGAGCTTCTGCATCATTTCATAGCAGTCACATCCGAGGCTCTTGGGGTGGAGACTATCTCACTTCAAGTTTGGAAGATGACAATCCCTCAGATCGCCCTTGGCCATGATTTCCTCATGCACAGCATTTTGGCAGTCGCGGCCCTGCATATAGCCCATCTCCGGCCGGAGCAGCGAAGACCATACTGGGAACGAGCGGCTATGCATCAGGATCGAGCACTGGAGCTGCAGCAGGAGGCTATGGCAAATGCGAGTCGAGATAATGCCGATGCGTTGTTTTCGTTCTCTTTGCTAGTCATCTACTTTGCTTTCGCATCACCCAAAACCTCAGATAGCCAAGAGTCGGAGGAGCCACTTGCAGGCGCTGTTCAATGCATCAGCATAATACGTGGGATTCGATATGTCGTACCGCCTATTCAGCAGTGGGTAGAAGAGGGGCCTTTGGCACAACTGCTATCCTTCCATCCCGGCAATATGAAAAGCAACCACTCTTTCAACGATCCCGACACCGATCGCTATTTCCAAAGATTCCTTGTGCTATGCTCTACAAACTCCGACTTGAACAAGACACACGAGTTTGAAGACATAGAACAATACGCCGCCGCGGCCAGTACCCTCCGAGCATCTTTCCTCAAAGCCGAATCAATTGCGGACGGCGCGCTGAAAACCCCACCCATTTGGCACTGGGCCTGCCGTTTGGCTCCGGAATTTCTTCAAAGACTGGGAAAGTTGCATCCGATACCCTTGGTGCTGGTTGCCCATTGGTGCGTCATACTGGCGCAAATCCGACAGTACTGGTGGATTCAGGGGTGGGTGGATCATACCATGGGACAGATACATGAGTGTTTACCTCGGGAATACCACGAATGGCTTGAGTGGCCAACGAAAAAGATTCAAGAACAGCGAGAGAACTGGACCCGGGGAATAGATGGGATTGGAAGCTCTTGACGAATGGTCACCGACGTTTTTAATGAGCACGCATCTCTTAGTTCTGGCTCTTACATCTCACGAGCAGGATGTATAAGATTCATGGCTTACGCTAGCATTCCTCCATCGATGGTGTATACGGAGCCGGTTACTGATGAAGTTCGCTAGTCAGCAGGGATCCATTCTAAACAGGAACGGAAGTCTTGAAAAATGTGCCTGGGGTATGAGAGTCACTGATACATGTTTCGTATTTCCCGAAGACGCTCAAGCCTGGATTTCGGGTCTGGAGAAGACCTACTGTACTTAGCCCCGTCACTCAATAGGAATGCCCGAACACTGGCGGCCTCCTCTGGCTGGCCTATCCTGGAGAGCGGCACCCGATTGAACATTTCCAACTTTGCAGATTCCACTCCACCCAAGCCTGCCACCATCGGCGTATTGAATATACCTCTGTACCTGTGTCAGCTGGTCTGGAATCGTTGGTGAAACAGTCCAACAAACGGAACAATGGCTTCGGCTGAGCCACGAGAGGGTCGAAAAGTGCCATTCCAAGCATTGACAACCACGTGAAAGAGAGTAGACCTACGGCGCAACACAGTTGACCCGGATTCCTCTCCCTCCCACCTCACCGGCCGCACTCTTACTCAACCCAATGACTGCATGCTTAGTCGCCGAGTACGGGCTATTTTTCGGATGCCCCTCTAACCCTGTCGTACTCGCCGCGTTTACCACGGCGCCTCCGTCACTCAGTACCCTCGACTGCGCCCTCATACAATAAAACAGTCCCGTGAAATTTGTCCTCGTGACAAACTCCCACTCCTCATTGCTCAATTGTACAAGAATATGAACACCGAAGTTCTTGCCCAACACCCCAGCGATATTAGCTGCGCCGTCTAAGCGTCCAAAGTGCGAGATCGTCTTCTCGATCCAGGAGTCCACCTGCGACGATTCGCGAATGTCAACGGCGGTGGCTAGGATGTTGGGCTTTGCGGAGGAGGTGGATGTGAATGAGGATTCGATTTCCTTTCGAGTTTGGGTCAAGGCGTCTTCCCGGTAGTCGGCAAGGGAAAGACTGGCGCCGCGGGCGAAAAGAGCTTTGGCTGTTGCAAGGCCCATGCCCGAGGCAGAGCCAGTAAATCATTGTGCTGGTGGGATTCGTGGGAAGGTGCGTTGCAATGGGTCCTGGGGATCCTGAAGACTGAATCATAAACAGTGCTTGAAGCTTGTGAATTTTGGCGGACGTGGAGTGGGCTGGATCGCTTTGACTCAGTTTACCCGGACTGCTTCGGACAGATTCCGGACAATTAGGGAACTATACGCGAAAGCACGTGACTTCGCACTCTCAAGATGTCTCTCTCTCTGCCTGACACGCATGAAAGGCATGAAGACAGTCGTGGCAGATTATGCAAAATGGCATGCATTGTGCTTGTATCCTCAAAACATTTTGTATCTGCATTACCTGAAGAGGAATTCTCGCATCAACATTCCGAATCACGGAGAGACTTTGTGCAGGCCAGTAATCAGCGATCGAACTATCCGGGTGAGTCGGACCAAGACTGCAAACACATACAGAGAGTAAGGTAGAAAGACTTATAGAGAAACGACTTCGTTGAAACCCGTCCTGAAATATTCAAATTGTCTCTCATCTTACGCGGTACACCTAGTGGAGGGTCCAATTGCGTAACAGCTCTTGCAATTTTCCTATTCCTGGTGAGCTGAAAATATGCACGATGATGAGACGCCCGCTGGGGGGCCGTAGGGCGAGAGGCTATTGCCACAGGTTATCGATGCCTAAGCCAGAATTGACCCAGAAAGGATCTATGCATTGGTACCTCATTCCGCAGATGTAACCCAAGGGTTCCGCAAGATCACAATGAAGGAGCCAGCCAGCGCTGTCAATCGCCTCGCTTGGTGGATAGATCGCGAGATTGGGCACTCGGAGGATTTCGAGACATTGGCTTATATGGGTGCTACGGACATTCGTTTGGCGTTTTCTTCTTTGCTGCGATCAAGTGCGATTACAAGTTCTTGGTGCCTTCAGCAAGAAATTCGGTATCTGGCAACGTCTCTCTCCTGACGGCATGCTATTGCACCAAAGTTTTTGTTACGGCGGATATGGCCAAGAAAATTCCCGACTTGGAGAAGAACATACCTGACTTGCGGAACTTCGTTCTTGTGTCGCTCGATGACCTGTTGACCGGAACATCAGAACACGACCTCTACGACAAAACACATGCGGAAGGTGTTAAAGATCCAGTCCTCATCTGCCACACGTCCGGTTCCACAGGTGCGCCCAAGCCGATTATACTTCCTAATGGAGCATTCAACGTTATCGACAACCAGCGCAGGCTCTCAAAGCTGGAGGGCCGGAAGAACATGGACTATTCCTTGTTTGATCTACAAGGAAAAGGGTTCATAAACACATTTCCGGGCTTCCATATTGGTGGAATTGTTGCCATGACCGCACTTCCAATCTGGTACGATTCTCTTGTCGTAATGGTGCCTTCGAATAGGCCCGCAAATGGAGAGATAATGGGTCAGATCATGTCTCAAATGCCGATTCGTGGGATTTTCAAACCCCCAACAGTGTTCGAAGAACTACTGGACATACCTGAAGGCCTGAAGCAGATTCTGCGGACGGAATCTGTTATGTGCGGTTGGGGGAACCTCTAGCCCCTCTCGCGGGCGACCGTATTAGCGAGGTAACCTGTCTTACTTCTGCTATTGGCTCGACCGAGGCTGGTATTATCCCGGCGTGGGTTCCGACCAAGGAGAATTGGAGTTACTTTGAGTGGCATCGGACTACGAAGTTGATATGGTACATGTGGACGGTGATATCTATGAATTGACGGTACCGAACCCGTCGAGGCTCGCGTGGATTCATACGTGCTATCACACTTTCTCCGAAGTCGAAGTATGGCGGACCAATGACCATTACAGACGCCACCCGGCACATCCAAATCTTTTTACATTCCGAGGGCGAGGTGACGACGTGCTAGTGCTGTCCAACAGGGAGAAGTTCCAACCCGTCATCACGGAGAGCATAATCCAAGGTCATCCGAGTATAGAAAGGGCACTTGTCGTAGGGACTGGTCGGTTTCAGCCTGCCCTCGTTATCGAACCAAAAGTGCATCCAGCGGATGCAGAGGCGTTCATTCAAGAGATCTGGCCGATCGTGCAAAGAGCCAACCAGGAAGCCGCAGCCCACGGTAAGATTTTCAGAGGCAAAATCATATTGACAACGCCTGATAAGCCATTTATCAGAGCTGGAAAGGGCAGCGTCACCCGGCCCAAGTCCACAGCTTTGTACGCTGATGAGATCGAGGCGTTGTTTAGTGACTCGGTCGGGGAGAAGGAGCTCGGAGTTCTGTCGCAGGAACAGGTGCAAGATACGGCAGCTCCCAAGGCGTCACTGGGTGCTTACGTTCGCTCGATCCTGCCGGATTTGCCAGAAGGCGCGGATGGCGACAAAGACGACTTTTTTGCTCACGGGCTTGATTCTGTCCAGACTATCGAGCTTGCTAGTGGATTGCGCGCTTTGTTGCATCCGCATCTGAACCCGTCGGATCTGAGCACGGTAGCGGCGAAGGCGATTTACGCCATTTCAACTGTTGATAGTCTTGCAGAGTACATCAAGGGCCTACTGGGGATGACGACGGGTACTGGTGGTGACGTGGCGACGAAGCGAGCAGCTCGCATGAGCGCCATGCTGGACAAGTATAGCACAGGTCTCCCAAAGGCGAAGAATGGTGCTATGCAAACGAAAGGTGCTGCTCACACGAATGGGATCTCGCGCGCCAACGGTGTCGCTCATATAACTGGTACAAGCCCTATGCTCTGCGTCGTCTTGACGGGCTCCACCGGCTCGCTAGGGACCCAGCTGCTGCAACCTCTTATAATTGACCCTCAAGCCTCAAAGGTGGTCTGTCTGAATCGTGCGGACAATGCTCTGCAGCGGACACAGGACGCATTCGCTCAAAGGACTGTGAAGGTTGATCTTTCCAAGGCCGAGTTCCACAAAGCGCAATTTGCGGATGTGAGGTTCGGTCTATCTACTGAGGCTTATGACACGCTGAGGGATGAGGGGGACGTTGTTATTCATAATGCTTGGACTGTCAATTCCAATCAATCGCTGGAGTCTTTTGAAGGTACGTACTCGTAGAAAAATTTCCCCACTGCTGCCAAAACTTGAATCACGAAACATGCTTTGGCCGAAAGTGACTCTTGGCTCTCCCTGAAGCTATTCGTGGCCCACATCTTTGTTTCTAGGAAGCAACGCCGACTAAAAACCCCGTATAGATCACATCCGCGGCGTCCGCAACTTCATCGACTTGAACAACTCAACCGCCAGGCGCCCTCGCATCATGTTCGTCTCCTCCATCTCTTCCATCGCCAACTATTCCGGCTGCTACCCTAACGCCAGTTTTATCCCTGACGAATCACTCACCCCAACCGACTACGCCGTCGCCCTTCCCATGGGGTACGGCGAATCGAAACACGTCGCCGAACGTATGCTAGCCGTCGCCGCCGAAAGGTCCGGCGTCAAAGTCGACATACTCCGTCTCGGACAGGTCGCTGGCCCTATCGCACCGCATAGGCGGTGTTGGAATAGGAACGGATGGTTTCCAAGCTTGATTCAAACAAGCAAGGCATTGGGGTATCTGCCGGATAAGCTGATGGATGTCGATTGGATCCCTGCAGATGTGTTGGCGAGGATTATTCGAGACCTGGCGCATCAGGATCATGGAGGAATTCAGACGTATAATCTCATCAACCCACACAGCCGCGATTGGAAAACCCTTGTCCCTTTCGTTCAGAGAATGATTGGAGGAGAAGTGGTGCCGTTGAAGGGATGGATTGTACGATCGAGGGCGGTCGACGCGGATGACAAAGCGGAGGTGGCGGGGAAGCCTGCGTTGAAGATTCTGGATTGGTTCGGTGATGTCGAGGCGGGGTTGTCGGCGGGGAAGGAGGGACTTAAATATGCTACGGCGAATGGGAGGGAGGCGAGTGAGACGATGAGGGAATTAGGGCCCGTGAGCGAGGAATGGATGGGGCATTGGTCGGGGGAGTTGGGCCTCTGGGAAGGTCTAGCATTCATCATGATGTGTGTCTCATGTTTTTGCAACCTTTGTGTTGTTCTGAATGTTTTGTCTGAATCCACATGGCATCTCCGCCCGGTGCACGCCATCTTGGCCCCAGCATGCGGGTTCCCTTCACTGCGTGCTGCGCCTCGTTGTTACAGGGGATTTTTCGGTCCCTGTCACGGTTTTGTATGACGCTATTATTATCACTCCGATCGGGGTGTGAATCTGGAATTCTCACGGAATATCAGATCTGCACATGGGGGGACCTGTACTGCGTCTCGTGATTCACGGTAGCTCCGGCAAGTTTCAAGTGACGGAATGTGTGAAAAGTGAAGGAACGACAACACCTTCGTGCACCGCACAATGTCTGCGTCACCTTCTATTTCCAGAACCTGCCCGCCAGCTGCGCCTCCACCGCACATACACGGACACGCTCAACATCATCATCACACACATACTTAATACACCCCACACACAGCACAGCGACATCTTTTTTTCCAAGAACAACCCTCCCACCAAAACAATCCACCATGGCGGCCCTAGATCCTACCCTTTTCCTCACAGCGGGCTCCCCCTACCACGCCGCCGTGCAGCTCATTTACAAACTCCCCGGCAAATACCGCCTCGTCCGCCGCACCCACCACACCCACATCGTCCACGGCACCAACCTCGCCTACCGCGACCTCGTCTGCCCCAGCCGCGGGACCGCCGACGTCACCCTCCGCGCCGCGACGGACGACCAGTACGAAGTGGAGCTGATGCACACCACGGCCGTCGAGCTCCGCACCTGGGACGGCCAAACGGCCACCAAGGTTGAGAAACGCGCGTTCCGGATCACGAACGGTCAGTGGAGCCTGTGGGCGGTCCGGACGACGGACGAGGGGGTGGATGTCGTGGCGGGGAAGCTGGCGGATCTGACGCTGAGCGTGGCGGGGGGGCCGGAGCGGGTGGGGCCGGCGGAGGGGGACGCGGTGCAGAAGGCGGCGCTGAACGGGGGGCCGTGGCGGGATGGGCAGGGGGTGAATGCTGTGGCTATGTGTGTCTGGGTTGGGAAGCAGCCGTGTTGGCAGCTGATGCATCAGGTTGATCGGCAGAAGCCGGCGGCGAGTGAGGTGTGTAGTGATGAGTTTTGGCCTGTGGTGGAGGATGCGGGGAATGGGTGAGATGATGGACTGTGAGGTTTTGTTAGGAGGGGGGAGGGGGGGCGACTACTTGCAATGCTGAATTATACTAGTCGATGCAGGATTTTGTGTCTTGCAGATCAATTAATGGAATATGTGCGATGGTATTGGACCGAAGAAGAGCACTCCAACGAATTGTTCATTTTCACAAGGAAACGATCATTTTGCATCCAGGTGTATCGAGCGAAGAGGCATCAAGGTCCACAATAGAAGATTTTACACTTCTTTCCTTCTCTTTTTTCCGCGAGATCAAATGAGAAATCTGATCTAGAGCCTCTCGAAGATTCCCTTGCCAGACTTTTTTGTGGCTGCCAATACCTACCAGCCTCTTAGCTTCACATCGTCTTGCAATTACCAGCTTCGATAATGGCACAGTCCGACTTGACAGGGTGAATCTACTTTAATCAAGGACGAGAGTAATCGGCTAGGGTCTATCCATTTCTCCACGATTTTAATTCCGAACCGTTTCCGAAATACCATGCGGCCTAACAGACAACGGGATCGGTATTCGACGAAATTTCCTCCGAGCAAATTCACAAGCCTTTTGTCGCCAGTTGAACAAGAGTGGCATGGTAGTTTGCCTGATGAGGGGAGGCGAGGTCAGGTGATGAGCGTGATCCGGATGCGAAAACCGCTGATTCGATGAGACGACTCGAATCACACGCGTGAATTGCACGCTGAGTCGGTATGACCAAGTTTACATGACGGAGATTATATGAAGTAAGACGTAGTATTAACTACTTTATACCTTGAATCCGTACCGGGCAGCATCCAGGCAGAAACAGAAAGATGGTGCACTACGAGAGAGTAGCTTTGTTCAGCATCTTTCTAGCCATGTTACATGCAATCGGGAGGTGATTAGTCAATACCACTAAGTATGAGACATGAAGGAAAGTATACTTTAAGATAGTAAAAGAAAAGGAGGCAAGGAAGGAGGAAGGATTCTGAGACAGGAGAGAAGATACAAGATACAAGATACAAGGCCAGAAAGAAGGTTGGTGGCTGCCACGTTTTTTTCTCGGTTACATATCGTATCGGAAACGCCAATTTAGCGCGCCTAGCCAGTTCGAGCTTGGTGATAAGTAAGTGGTCATACCTTACTCTAATAAGTGGGCTGCAATTTGACCGAACCCTGCGGCACGGTCAGCCAGCTTAAAGTACTTTACTTTGCTGTATGATTATGTCTTGTGATTACGGTGATATACTGCTACTACCAAATAAGAATTTTTGCCAATTGGCAGCACTCAGCAGGATTCCTTCATTCGTCGCTCTTCTGAACCTTCCACAACTAACAGCGCCAACCAGACTTCACCCCCATTTTCACTCACCTAGCCGCCGACATCCACCACAGGCTTGCCACGAATACAATGCACTTCGTCATTTAGCCTATATTGCCAACGCACTATCCTGTCTGCCCTGTCCACTTGCAATGTCTGACTTCAAGAACCGGTCCGTCTCTGACATGCAGCTCCCCAACACTTCATCTCACAAGCGAGATGACGATGAGACGTATCGTATGACCGTCCTTCGATTTGACAAGACTGAGGACGAGGTGGACCGGCACTTCCTACAAATGGCACTTGATCTGGGCATCAACATCCCACAAGAACCCAAGACGACCATCGACCACATCACTAGCAATGTCGCTACTCTCAGTATCAATTCTGACGCCCCAGAACCACACCAGCTGTCCCCCTCCCGAGCCTCCGAATCCACACATACAGCATCCGAAAGTTCCATCGAACAAATGGAGCATACAAAGACACCCTCACTCACCGCCACATCCGTAACCACTGCTTCCATTAGCTCGGCAGCATCCAACAAGTCCAACTACGTCAAGGTCAGGAACGGCTTTCGTCGGATATCAAGACTACACAGGCGGAAAACAATGGCGGTACCCGTCCCAGCAATACCACTTCGCACCTCGTCTATGTTTCACATCTTAAGACCTGGCTTGGAGCCTCGTGCAATAACGGCGGACCAAATCGCTACAATCTACAATCCCCAGCCTCACGCGATAACGACAGACCAAATACGGACCCTTTCAATACCCCGCAAACGGGTCATGTCTACCACATATAATGCACCGCCTCCGCTACCACCGCCTGCACCCTTGTCGCCGCCTCTCCGTTCTCCAGGGGAAGAAACAATAGAGACTCTCTATGCCCGGCGCCGTAGCATATCGAATCCTACCCTCAAGAAGCTCCGGACAACTCAACTACAAGAACAACTCCGCTTTATCAGCTTCGAGGCCTCGCAACACCGCCTCATGCGCACCAAGCAGCTACAACACAAACGGGATTCCCTCTCCCGGTATCAAGACCAGGAAAGGGATACCCACGCCCAACACACCGAGGCTCTTTCCTCCCTCGAAACTCGACATTTGACCGCGGAAGTCGACCTCCAAAGGACCCTGCAATTGGAACGTCAAGCTTGCGATACCCGTTTGAAACACATGCAGGCGTACTGCAATCCACGCTCAACGGTAGCAGGGATGCCCTCGCGAGTGGTTACGAAATCCGACTATCGCCAGCTAGAACAACAATATCACATACGCAACGGCATGGATAACCTTCACGCTTCCCGCATTAACGTCTTACGAGAAAGGCAAGGGAAGCAACAGGAGCGTATAATGGCAAAGCAAGAGGCCGAGCTCGAAACTCTCGAGTCGAAATTTGAACAGCAGAATGAAGAGTTGGATACGAGGTTTCGAGAGGAGGAAATGCAGCTGCAGCAAGAGTTTGCCGAGCGCAAGAAAAGACTTGTCAGACGATGGGCACTGGCTGAGGCAATCGAGAGGCGGAAATTGGAGAAAGCAACTGGCGAGACCTTTGAGCCTTTGCCCCCTATCTTTTGGTCCGGCGATGAGAATGGCAGGGGCAAAGAGAAAGAAAGAGCAAGGGAGGTACCGGGGAAAGAGGACAATCCGACGTACGACGCTATGAATATGATCTGATCTTCAACCGCGTATATACTTTGTTTTACATCAACTTCTGGTTCATGTGAGCGAGCATGGAGCGAGCGTGGTATGGCGTTTCATATCCTACGAATCTTTGGCGCAAATACCTGTGTACATTTACAATCTTGTCGTTAGCTTTCTATCATGGAAACATCCTTTCCCTGCTCAGCCTCACCCAGCGACACGCTTTTGGGCTGGCACCACACCCTCATCTCCAGTTGAAACCAGCGTAGCGGATGCAGCAAGCAGCGTCATTTCCGCTATGCTCCAACATCGATACTTTTCGCAGCTGGCTGAGCACTTTGACCTGGCCTGACCCGCACTCTACATTTCCTTTTGCGCAATCGAACGAAGGGGATCTCTGATAAAGAAAAGAACTTCGTCGGTGGCATGCCTTTTTCATCCTCAGATTTGAACCTCTCCTAAACACGGAGCTTACCACGAACGTCGAATCCAACCCGGAGCAACAGAATGAGAGCACCCGAAGCCTCTCTCGTCCTCCCGTGGCACGTTCCGCCTCGATCGCGGTCTCCGAATGGCGCTCCTGGGCCGATACGTGCGGAATCCGGTTCACGTTGTGTGTCCGCAGGAGGGCATTGAAAACCGCTGCTTTTCTTATTCGAGGTCTGGCTGCGTGTGGTCCGACTCGGGCTTCACATTCAATGTTAAGTTGTTGAGCAATGTTGAAGTTCTATAACCTATCTCAGTATTGACCGAATTCACACAATACATGTGGTATGCGGGAGCAGTTCGCAATAACCAAGCTTCCCATCAATCCTGCAGTCCTGAGGCATATACTGTGTTGGTTGCCTGTCCCACCGGAGTGACCGACAGCTCACAAATGTAGGGAGCTCGCGAGCTTTTATTGACACACATGCACCCTAAGACACAATTGTCATGGAGTCAACCTACCAGTTCTTGAGGTCCAGCAACAGCTCGAGGAGCAGCAGTCGTCCATGTATTGCGCAACAACATAAGAGTGGCGGGAATAGTGGGTAGGCATCTGATACTGATGTGTGACCTAGCTTCTCCAGGCTCAGCAGAAATCCATTCGTCAACAAAAGTTTATGTATTTGGTATCCGAGACCCTCTCAGCAAGTAAGGCAAGCCGAAGCGAGCAACCCTGGTTGTTGCTAGTTCCCTGCTTTCAAGGGAGGTCTACTTGAAATTTTCAGCTGTACGCGACCATTGACAGAATTTCCTCATCCTGGCGCCGTAGCTATAGAAGAGGGTTGCGACAGGGAAGAAAGCAACGGCGGGAAAGCCAGGCAAATCAGTTGCCCAATGGGTTTTTGTCAGTCATGCGATTGCAGACATAGTACGGTAGCAGCAGCGCCGGACGAACGTAGTTGTAAGAGGGAACGCAAGACTCCCTCCAAGGTTGTGATGTATTGCAGTAGCGAGCATGGGAAAGCCCGCGCCAAAAGAAGGGTCTGACGATAGTGTTGGCCGGGATGGCGGAGTTGGCGTGCATGAGGTGGACGTCGATGCGGTAGGCCCGACCTTGCGAGAAGAATAATCTGCAGGTCAGCTCCGAGAGGAACACACGCGATAATCTGAAGCCATGCTGCCACGGGTTCTTTGATATATGTAAGGTATGCGGAGAAGACGTCTACGCGAACTAGAAGCATCCGGTAGGCAGATCTAAGCGCATTGTCTAGGCAACCCTTCTGGCGGAGGCGTTATCCGAGATATTGGCGAGATGTTGGCGTAGGGGTCTTGGCATGTCCAGGCCGTTTGGGGTGGGAATTATTAATTAGCCCGTTTTAACTATGCCACTGCTGGGTAAGGACTGTATTACCATTGAGAAGATCTTAGAACCGAATCCAACTATTATGTCAACTACCGACGTTGACTTTTAAAGATAGACAGACCTATCTCGAAGCCCGAGCCTGTCGCCAGAGTATCGCAGCCTCTGGCAGAGGGTAAAATTCAGGGGTTTCGACCGAACATCAGATTACCATCGTTGCACTTCAGTGTAGTTCAACAACGACTGCTTCCACAACGACAATTTCAGTGTTGC